GTGGGTTTAGGTGTCAGATCTTTCGAGATATCACTGGCAGGCTCTAATGAGAAACTGTCCCCTTGACAGTGTTGGGGAGTAACTAGTTACATGTAATTAATTACGTAATTTATTTACAAAATAAATGTAACTGTATTACGGTGACTAGGAAAAAAGTTATTAAATTACAGTTACTTGAAAATGTTCATGATTACTCTGTGGGTTAAATCTCAACATTCTCAATCAACAATCTCTATATGTATTAATTTTAATTTTGTTGCTTTGCATGTTTTGCATGTTCATGTGCACAATTTCTTCCTTTGCCATTTCCAGCCACAGCCGGTTAGTGAAGTTTGAAACTTCTGCTTCTGATTGTTTGAATGTGCAGCACCATCTGTCTACAAATTAAATTGCCTCTCAGCTGTCTTTTGAAAATGGTTAAAAGAAGAAAACATTCATTAGATAGCTCTAAAAGTAATCAAAAAGTAATTAAATGAAATAAGTTACATTGATTCGAAAAAGTAATTGACATAGTTACACTAGTATTACATTTTAAATAAGGGTAACTTGTAATCGGTAACTTATTACAATTCCAAAGTAACCTTCCCAACACTGTCTTCCCTGCCCTGTACTGGGCTGAACATCTCATCGCACTAGATTATTGTGTCTTTTGGGAGAAACACGAATGCAGGGCACATGTGAGGAGGTGAAAATGGACAATGAACTTGCAGAGACTTGAAGAATAAACTGTAGGTTTTTCCTCTTAATCAGTGTAAAAACATCTGGAACTGAATGTCAAAAAAGTGACATTTAGTGTGGCTATAAAAAGATAAATGACTTACTATTAGGCAGAAAGCACTGACTGATAATTAAAGTGAATGTGCATGTGTTGTTTAAACCTGTACGGATTTTGGGTATAATGTCAAGGTATGATTTGAATCAGTCTCTTAACAGGAAGCTGGATCAACCATTCAGCTTGTTTGACGAGCAGGACCGCACAACACATTGTTGAAATTCATGAGATGTGCTCATCAGTTCCACTGCGAGCCTCTGTGACCCACAGTTACCCATAACACTCTTGTCTACATAGATCTGCAGAGGCGTTTGTGGATACCCTGCACTGTGAATGTTTACACAGTGTGTTCAATAAAAACATGAAACATATAGTGTGTTCAATAAAGACATGAAACATATAATTGTGTGTATGGTATTAGTTTAAGCAGACTGTGTTTGTCTGTTGTTGTGACTTAGATGAAGATCAGATCACATTTTAAGACCAAATTATGCAGAAATCCAGGTAATTCCAAAGGGTTCACATACTTTTTCTTACGACTCTACATTGTTTTGCGTAGGTGCTTGTCTCCCTGAAAAATAGCGCTACCCATGGAGCCACAATAGCCACATTTATGGGAAATATGCCAGGTTGAAAAGAAACTGGATTTATCTATTAACATATGGTGGGAGTTAGGCAGCTGAAACATTTAAAGGGTAGAGAAAGGTCATTATTATGTTTAATAAAAAAGTTATATTATTTGCAGGTCTGTGACAGTACGCAAAGTAAAAACTCCTGCATGAGAGTCAGACACAATAAACGCCTATCCACACCTGGACATCCACACCCTTACTTTTTGCCTCCCTCTTTTTACGTTAATCATCTTCAGTAAGCTAATTGCAACAAAGCACTTTTCCTGCATTATGTTAACAACTTGCTAGCTTGCTAAATTGTTAGCCTCGGTCATGTCTAGATTCCGACAGTAACTTTAATATTAGCTAATGTGCTTTTTTTCTTTGGCCGTTCATGTTGCCGTTCCTTAACAGCAGGGTTCTCACAATTCACCACTTAAATGCTAAGCAACCGCCACTTTTGTTATCAGCGGTTTAGACATCAATGGCTGTGTGATGTGTTATTTTGAGGGGACAGCAAATTTACACTGTTATATAAGCTGTACACTCACTATCTTACATTGTAGCAAAGTGTGATTTCTTCAGTGTTGTCACATAATCAAATATTTACAAAAATGTGAGGGGTGTACTCGCTTCTGTGAGATACTTTATTTTCTTTATTGCTGCTTTTTTACTTATTATGATTGTTCATTGTAGCACGAGCTTACCAACTACTATTTCATTCAGTGTGTGTTTTTGTGTTGTAGTATGTCATCCTGGTATGGCCCTGTTTCCCTCCAGCTGTAGGTTGCTTAATTTAAACTGTACACAGGAGCTGCTTTTATTTCAATACAAACACCTCAGTGCAGAACACCACTGGGCTCTACTGTAAACAACCTTTTTCATTTTCTTTTCACAGAGTGACACTGACATTTTAGCCTCAGTGTTAAATAGGTAAGGTCACGGACACTGAATAATATTAATGATATTCACTGATCTCACATAAATTCACCTCATTGCTACACGTCATTTCTAACACTGTATAACACCATATACTGACTTGAATATTGAATTTTTCCTATTATCATTACAGGTACAGGGTATTCAAGGGTAAATACAGGTGTGTGTATTTACTAACGTACCTCCACAAACAAACAAAACCTGAAATGTAAACAACCACAGGTTTAGCTCTAAAGTCTTAATAAGGGAATTAGATAAAAACACTCAGTATGTTTGTTGTAATTGCCTTGTGCCTGCTGCAGCTATGATTGCTTGCAGAATGTCTTCAACTCCAGGGAGACTACGTGGAAATCCTCAAATTATTGAGGTGGAGAATTATACAACAGCTGCTCTGTTAAAAGAGGATGCTTGTCTCTAATAGTCTGCATCTTAATAAGCACAAATAGCTATGACACAGAACAGTTATTCTGTGAAATTTTTCGCCCTAAAGGGGGTAGCCAGAGCAACATAAACACTTCATGAAAAAGGAATTTAAATCTGAGCTAAATCAGTATTACAAACACAGCTACAAAGGAGGATAATATTAGACTGAATGCAACTTAGAAGGAGTTGTCAACCTTTTTTATTCTGTGTATGTCCATCGTGTTCCTGTTGTTTTGTTTCAAACTTGTGACCATAGTTTCTATTTGTCACTATAGTTCAACATAGATTGCAGTGGTTTCCCAGGATTTACCTATTTACAGCAAGTTCCAATTTATTCTATTTTATTTCTTCTTTTGGACCAGTACACCTCGAGTTTCGGCATGATTTGGCCTGCTTGGAGCTCTGTTTTTACAACCAACATATGCTGCTAATTTGTGTTTACCAGGATACAAGTCACCTTTGTAACTGTGATTGCAATTGTCATTAAATTTCTTACAATTTAAAGTACTACTTGAAGTTTTACTGTCTCTTTTACATTTTATGCAGATTTGTGATGCAGGTTTGTTCTATAAACATAAACATGTCTTTATGATTTTCAAAATCATAAGTATATGGGTGAGCATACTGAACCTACATAACCTACACTTTAATAAGTGAATTCTTATTGCTGCCTTCAGGAAGTGGCAACAAGTCCTCCAAATAAAATGATACCTGATATAGAGAAGCGGCTTCTGATCTGATGTGACTTACTAAACCCTCACAAATCAGTGAAAAAAGAATTTGTTTGATGCTGTGAAAATGTTATGGTTAAAGGTTTGGTTAGGTTTAGGCACAAAAACAACTTGATGAGTTTATGAAAAGATTGTGGCTTGGGTTTAAATGACTTCTTCATTAAGGTTAGGGGAGCTCTGTCGTGATGATTACAATAATAAAAATTAAAACGTATGATTATGGAACGATCGTGGTCACGCTTTAAAAGAAACCAAAGTCTCCCGTTTTAAAATCTGATATTTTGTTGACCCATAAATCCACCCCAACCGTCCACTCATGCACACTTTGTTGCTATATAACAACGTTACCTGACTTTTCACCTGTGCAGTACTGCAGCTTGATGTTAACAGATGATGGGGAACTTGCTGACACAACTGATGCTCTCTACCTGCCTGTAAATGTAATTGGAATTCCAAGTCTTTTTATCCCTTCTGCCATCCATCTTTTCAGTCCTTCATTGGTTATTTTCTATGATTTTGAATGGTTTCATTACTTGTGTGTATATTTATTTATTTATTTATTACCAATTCTATGCATAGTTTTTAAGCCTATAGCATTTCATTGTTTTAATTTTGTGATCAACAGTGGGGGTTTTTTCTTCTCCTATGTATTATGTGTGTATTTGTTGACCTGGGTGATGAGTACAATTGCAGTGATAAATAAAGTTGTATTGAAATAAATTGAATGTTAACATTACCATTAGCCCCAGATGCCTGCCAATGGAATTGTTATTACAAACTCATGCTGTACAGTTAAACTTTGAGACTTAATTAAATTCTAGTGGAGATCACAAAGTTTCAGAGACACCAAATATGTGTATGAAATTATGCGCAAACATAACATCTGTTATACAGTCACTCTATCCAAAGTAATTTACAATAAGTGCATTCAACCTCCATGGGAACAAGAGCTAAATAAAAATCACCAACAAATTGTAAGTGCATCCCTTCCAAACAAACAATATGTTCAGTATGAATATAACAGTATGTTCAGTGCTACAAGTGCTTTGACATTTAGAAAATTAACATTTGATGAAACGGTACAGCTACAAAAGACATGGAGCCTTTGTTTATAATATATATACATTTATTACACACACATACAAATATATATTCAATATATATTTATTACACACACACATACAAATATATACAGTATATTCAATGAACAACTTCAACATGCTAATAGTGTATGAATTGCATACTGTCAGACAAAGTGAAATAAGATGACTTTAACAACCTCTGAGCTACTGCTTAAAAAAAACTCAGACCTATCCCATCTCTGAGTACTTCAGATGGAATTGCTGCTTAATGACCCTGATGATTATCTTTAGTGGGATGCATCTTGTCCAACCTCTGGGAGTGAAAGGAAAATATGCGCAGTATCAGTTTGGCATTTGGGCAATTTGCTCCATGTTCAGGGTGCCATTAACTCAAGAATGATGATAGATCTGCATCCGTTTCCTGTTTCTCTCTCTGTTGCAGCGCTGCCGGTTACAAGGAGAGGGAGAATCACATCACAGTTTTCTGGAAATTGCAGAGAGCAAGCAAAACATTGTGACTGGTCATCATGAGCACGAGTGGACACCGAAAAGCAACAACAACTGAACGGGACTCGGCATTTGAACAAGTTGGGATGAGAGCTACTGAGTGACATCAGTAAACAAACCCTCGAGGGTTGAGACTGGAGTTGGCAGATGAGTAAGTCGTGGCCCAAAATGATTGCCTTAATTACTACACATACACAGATTTATGAAGTGATGAAACTAAGAGACTTATAAAAGTTCAAAGATGTTTTCTTTACATGTGATAAAAGTGTCTTGTAAGGAACAGATGTGAATATTTTAATATGATAGAGATACGTTTGGTTGTAATGTCGACATAATGTTTTAGTTGGGTCGGCTTCGTAGGTGTCATTGGTTACTAAATGGTGAGTTTGCTCTCTGCTTATGTGCAGTCAGCAGCACGACTTAATCTATTTTTATCTTGTTTCATATTGTCAACCAAACAAGGCTGGCCTGAGTTGCTCACTCAAATGCTGGCAACAAACTCTTGATTCACATCGTGTCATAACACATGAAAATCCTCATTCAGAAAGTGTATAGAGGGTTGGGAGAGACATATATTGACTGGCTCAATGCAACACACTGAAATACATCAGAAGAATTTCCTCTTACATTAAGATCCACTTACACTAAAGTAAAGATGTCAGGCACATAAAACACGATCATAAATAGCTGCCACACTTTCTATCACGGTAAAACAGTGGATGAAACTCGCTGGGCTTTCACATCGAGAATCATCGACATACAGATAAAATACCTTAGGTTTTTTTCTGAGATGCAAATTTAGAGCTGACCAGCTGCTTTGTTCATATGTTTTCACTTTGAATTTAACTGTATGCAAAAGTAACATGGACGTGTGTTATATATTTTTTTAAACCTAGCCTTGATAATTACATAACCAAAGGTGAAACCCTGAATTTATTGTATGTTGTTGACTTCTGGAAAATGTTGTGATATAGATGCACACTGAATAGGAAAAAAATGTAAATAGCAGACATTTATACTTGTGTGTCCTAAGATGTGTTGCAGATAGAGTAATTTGAGACTTTTTACTTTCTTTGACTGTTACGCTCATCAACCATAATCATCTGTGTTTGGTTTGTCCTCGCAGATACAATTATGTTCCTCCTATTGTTGCTGCTCCAACATTCTTCATTATCATATTTTTGGCAGTTTCATCTTCTTTTTTCTCTCCACATACTGCCCATTAAAAATCCACCTATTCATTTATTTGGCATACTAAAACACAAAGTTGTTTGTGCAACTTTGTCTTAGACCTGCAGTGTTGTCCGTCAATGATTAGTAATGTGTCCATGCAAGTTTTATTTTTGTTTTTGGAAGTAGTAGTAAGTTATGTTGCACATTTGCATATTTTAATAAAGACAGTGTTTTATTTTCCTATATTTTCCGTCAAAAACATCCTTTATATACTGTGTCAACTATAATGGCACATAATAAGCTTGAACTTAGAGCGTTTGATCTTAGTGTCCTTTTCCCTCAACTCCTAAAGAAAATCCAAAGTTCACGTTCTTGCTCTTTTTCCTGAAAATTAGTATGTGTAATTACCTCAATAATAGTATCCCTAAGAAAAGCTGTTTACTGAATGTTCCAGATATTTCCTTAGTGTCAGAAACACTTGTAACCACAAACTAGCCACAACAGTAAAATAGATGTCAAAGTTTACTTGGGAAATCCTTATGGGCAGGATGTTTTTAAGGAAGGAGTAGATACAAATTTCGTTTGTCATTTTTGCATATCAAAAGTTAAAACCAGAATCACCAGAATATCCCAGCAATGCTTAGGGATTGTCAAATCTGCAAAGTTGTTGTCTTGAAACTGAACATGAAAGACATTAATGACAGTGAACTATTTGTTATATTATTCGGAGAATCTAAAAAGTAATAAAGGGAAAGCAAAGCTAACAAATTTTACAACAATTCATCTGTTTTTTTGTTTTTTTTATTTGGTAATTTGGCAGATAAATTGAATCCCCGCAATGAGATTAAAAGTAACTGCTTCCTCAAAGACATTTGAGAATAAATAAACAAACTGCAGAAGAACACACTTGGTAATATGATGCATGATGCTTTAAGTAGGTGAGTAAAACAACTACAAAACAGCAGACATTAATTTACCTTTTACGGTCAAAGAAATAGTTTTGGGCAATTATATGCTTTCTTGCCAAGAGTAAAATGAGAAGATTGCTAGGACTTTGATGTAGGTATAATAAATATGAAGCTACAGTCATCAACCAGTTAGCTTAGCATAAATAACTGTATTTATTTATGCTTATATCAATAGTTTAAGCCCATCAACTTTATAGTTCTGCACCAGGAACTCTAGCATTTGGGTCAAGTAGTGGATTATCTGTTGGTTGCATAGTAACCTCACGGTGACAACAAAACTTCAGTAAATTATCAAAAAATGGAAGAAGCGAAGAAATGTACAAAACCCCTGATAAAGCCACAATGTGTTGTTTTTACACTCACAAATTAAACAAACAAGATACAAAATACTAATTGGGGAGCTTTAAACTTGCAGGTAGGCAGATTTAGTTGCCTTTTACAGAACAAGGTTGACTCTTCCCCCTGTTTCCAATCTTTATGCTAAGATAAGATAATCAGCAACAAGGTACACGGTAGATTTATTCATCATCTTACAACACACCCTTATATAACGAGATGAAACGTCAAACTATTCCTTTCAGAGGTAAATTAAATGAAAATATGTGTAGAACTATATTTCCAATGATTTTATTCCACTAATCTTGTCAGATTATGTCACTCAAGCACAAGCTGTTCCACACCTTAGGAGCTCAGCCGGCAGAGGCCTTAGTTCTGGCCTGGGGTTTGACCATGGAAATATGGACCAGCCTGAAGATTTCAGATGAGATGACAGGCTGTAGCTAGCCCAGATGCAGAACTATCACACCAATAGCCAAATGTGGCCAGAAGCTACACTGAGACAAATTAACCTATCTAGTGATATATTCTGCTACAACTCAGTATTTCAAGGCAGCACAAAAGACGCTAAGCCAAAGACTAATATGCCCACAGGTTAAAACAAGAACAGGATCAGACTGAGAGATGATCCTTGTGGCCACCGCATCCCATCAACCAGAACAAACATGCACCAAAGGAGTCTGAATGAAATCTGTGTAACTGGGCAGTCTCTAACCCATTTCCTCAATCTACAAATTAAAACAGTTTATTTGGTTGGAGGCTGCAATTATGTCAAGTTGCACTGATACAGCGCCCTCAGTTAAATCTGCTGTCAACAGGAGATCAGTAGTAACCCAGAGAAGAGCAGTGTACTATAATGTATAAAGCAAGAAGATAATAAAGGTCGATAGGCAGATTTTGAAGCAGATTGAATATTACAAGAACAAAATAATTTATCCTGTTGTGTGAGCCGACTCGTGCACTGAATAAAAAGGTCATAATCCACAGTTATCCGCACGGATATTTATAAAGAGGTTATCCACGTCATATCATGAGTGAAAAAGGATGAGTGGAAATATATCCTACGACTAAACAACAAATTAATTTTTTCTTTGACTAGTACTTTAATATTATTTGGGAGGTTAACAGTTCGTATGTGTGGGGTCCTTAGATTAGACACAGAAGAAGATGAGAGGAAATCATTTTAATTCCGATCACCTGCAAGCTACATTTATACTGTTTTTTAACACGAGCAAAAGTAGCTGTCAAAGCTAATGGTCAGAGGAGGAGATTCACCCAATGCAGTTTAACTAATATTCAGTTATACAAAAAAAAATAACTATTTAAAAGAAGAATTGAACTCATTTAAAAGGAAATTCTTGTTGGGGATTGATTTCACATTAAGAAGGGGTATCCCTGTGTGAGAAACCACTTTTTTGTTAAAGCTGACAAATGTCTGAGGCCTAAACAAGTCTGAGACTCCTCCAGTCCTCTGTGTTTTCCACAGAGCAACTAGGCAAGATTAACTTTAGGACGAATGCCTCCCCTAATCAATAAAAAAGGATTTCTTCTAAACAAACTAACAACTGACCACAGATCTCAAGCCATACAAAACAACAGCCCAGTGTTAAGATTTAGTGATGTACTACATTTCACGCTGCTTTCAGTGTTGCCAGATTTTTCTCACACTAAACAGCCCAATCAGATCCTCAAGCCGGCAAGTCATCATAGATATAGCTAAATTTTTAATTTTTAATAATATATAAAATATGTGCTGGGAAGGAGCCTCAGGTTGTTCCTCTATCCTGCGATCTTTTGTTTTATTTCTACAATTACGCAATCCCCAAATCACCCAAAACATGGTTACAGTAATGAAAAAGTATCTCAATCAAACCTTTTGGATAGCGATTAAATATTAAAATATTCATTTATAAGATCTGGTGAAAGGTTTAGCAGGTTATTTATCACAGAGCTGTAACTGAATAATAACATGAATACAGTAAAAAAGTGTCAACCTAGTTGTAATAAACTGAAATGTCATTTGTTTTTACTGATCATCTGTTATCAGTTGTGTGTGTGTGCTACTCAGAGGAGAGAAGAAGCCGATTCACTGGAAAATAGACAAATGGTTAAAATGATCCAAATCATCACAAGCTGCCCAAAAGAATTTTTATCTACCCGATCAAATAAAAAGGAGAAAAGGTGGATGGAAAACCCAATCTGGCAACACTGACTGCTTTTGCCCATAGTGATAAGGATGGATGTCTTGATGCCAAAACTGCTACTTACAACCGAGTTTGTGGTTCCTGTATTGAATTTGGTTTAAAAAATATAACTGAGCTGAGGGAGATCTTTACAAAAGACAACCTGAGTAAGCCCAACATCTTCACATTGCACCCACTGCAGCACTGTTGACGTCTCCATATGGCTCCGTTTGATGTTACGTACCACAGACACATATACAAATAAAAGTAATGCATTAGTCTGAGGATAAAAACTGTGTTTACTGTAACATCCACAGCGTTAGATAACACCAGGAACCCGTTTTATGTCTTAATCTTCTTATAAACAAGGTGGCTTATGAGGAGCACTGCAAAACTGTTGAACAGTGACGCAGTTTGTATTTGTTTAGTACTAGTGCTGGAAATTATGCGACTGACTGGATTTCGGGTTGTTTTGTACCATCTGCCTCCTGCAGAACAGTATTAGTGCTTTTTGCTGCAAATACAGTGATTGCAGTGTTTGCCTGGTCTCCTCTGTATCAGGTAGGAGACAAACATAATGCTCTGCAGAATTAATGCATGTTTGTTATAAGGCCTTGGTAAACAGCTAGTATCAGCATATCGCTCATATTACTGGGTTAATAACAAGGCTAACACCCGTTACTTGATTTGAGAAACACTCAGTGGTCATCTGCACAAGTATTAAATTAATTAAAAGATTACACATTCTTTCAGAGATTATGATTAAATGATAAAAGTCTTCATTAGCTTAAACATTGCCCAAATTTAACACACCTGGAACACCTTTCATTTTATGGCTCATAGTGAAGGGATTTATGTGCTGTAAAAATTATAGTCGTTAGAAAGAAATCAGCATTTCCATCTGTTTGATGACAGCCACAGAACTGACACGGTATAGTGTAGGGTGTGGTTTAAGTATAAAACCAGTTACACACACACACCCACATACACATCTGGTATGTGGTCAGAGCACCTGGAGAGTCACACAAGGCAAAGCAACCTCTGTTTGCTTCAGGACTGCCTCTCCTGGCTGCCACTGTCCTCTCAAGGTATCTCAAAGGGCCATGTGAACACCCACAGCCCTCATTCATCAAGCTATAGGACATTCTTTTATAGTAGATGAAATCAAAGAGAAATCTACTATTTTGATTTTTTCAAGAAAGAATGTCAAACATGCTCTGTTTCCAGCTTCTCAAATGTGAGGATGCTTTTAATTTGCCATATGTGATAGTAAACTGAACATCTTTTGAGTTTTAGACTGTCAAATAAACCAAGCAATCTGAAAACATCTTTTTGAGCTGTGGGAAATTATATTTTTCACTATTTTCTGACATTTTATTGACAAAATGCCCCCCCCCCCTCAAAAAAACCCCATAATTGGCAGATTTATAAACAATAAAAATAACCGTTGCTTGCAGCTCTAATAGAAAACAACATGAATTTTATGATATTATGTAATTTCCTCATGCTCTGGGATAAATTCTCTGTGCTCTGTGATATGTCAATGTAATGTTTCATATCATATTTGATAATCAAAAGCTAAATGCTCAATGCCCTGGGAGCTCAATGCATTGCAACATGCAAATAGACAAAATACAAGCAAATGAAAACACCCGTTCATCAACACTGTATTTACAAAAAAAAAGTGCAAAGAAATAAAACATGGTTAGACACCCAAATACAGAAAAATATTGCATATGCGTTGTCATGTTGGTGAAGATGTGTTTACTTTAATTGCAGAGTGTTGATCTCTCGGGGCATTAAAAGTTTGATTTAACAGCCTGCTGACAGTTTTAAAGATGTGCATGCTCCTTTGGGAAGCACAGACAGAACATGAATGGATGATTACATGCTGTGTACTTTAGCCTGTATAGACCAATTACTGTGGTGACATGTGGTAACCGCAGCAGATCATTTGTCATGTTACATTCAACAGACTACATGTGGGGCACAGCACATTTCCCCTCAATAAGCCTCCAAATCTACAAGCCAAGAATCATTAAGCATGTATAATTTTGATTGTGTAAATGGCCTTTTTTATTTATTTATTTATTTTACACAAGATGTCTCTGTTTTTTCAATCTACAGAGTAATCTGCATCAGCTGTGAAGCAACCATGACAAGTATCTTTGGATAATTTAGCTGTAGTTTCTGAACTTTACTCCACGAAAGCTTGATGACGGAGGGCCGCTGTGTGTAAAACAAAATAATGAAGTACACAGATAAAGACAAAACACACAAATGAAGAATATGAATTTGACAGGACAAGGGTGGAATTCACACCCATAATAATCAGGTCTATGCAAGCTGGTGCAGTTTGGTCAGCCAAGGCCATGGTCACATTTATATATGATGGTTATAATCCAGTATATCTACATTAGTCATTATGATTCTCACAATCATCTCACCTGCAGAGGGATAAACTATCTACACTCAGCCAGCAGAGATGTTGCTGCACTGCTGCTGTGCTTTATTGACGGCATATGGATAATTTTCAGTAATGGCGAATACAAAATAGTTTTTTGGGACAATGGTGGTGCATTTGTTTTAATGTTACTGCTTCACCTATGTGTATGCTTAATATTCAAACTGTTCATTAGCCACTGCCTTGTCACACATAAAAAGGAGGGAAATCTTTATCAATCAGCAAAGGAAAACTGACAGTAACAAACATGTAAAATATTTCTACAGTTCAGGTGTTGAGAAATATCCATGTGAGTTTTGGCCAGCCTTGCTTTTATTCTGCATGATGCTTTGTTTTGAGAATAATGCATCCTAAACCAAGGTATGTTCGTGTTCTTTTCCTGAGGGTGCTCCTCTCTCTTTCTCTTTCTCTCGCGCTCTCTCGTCACTTCTAACCTTAATATTCCTTGTTTGTTTTTTTCTTCTTTGTTTAATTTTTTTGGTAAACCTTCCAACTTCTGGATTTTCTACACTCATAACATTTTGTAGACAGCAATATGAGATGTGATTGAAAAATGGAATATGTGCAATGTTGACTAAAGAAAAATATAATATATTCAATAAAAATTCAGAAAACAGTTTTAAGATGTGATTTTTCTTTGTCAGAGGTGAAGGGCCGATGACCTGGATGCAGCTTTTGCTGTTATACGTGAAACCAGTTTTAAGGCCACTATGGCATCTCACCTGTAAACCACATCCACTGTAATGTTTACTTTTGTTTTTAGAAATAGTCAAGCATTATTCCTGATTTCTTCAATGCACCTTACCTACAACTAGAACTATTAATTGGGCCAATTATCTGGCATTTTGAGATAATTGGCATCGGCCAATGCCTGTGCTCACAAGGCAGATAACAAAAAAATGTCTGTGGACACATCTTCACGTAACCTTGCCAGTGTGGCTGCTGTGAATGATGTGAGCTTTTGGATGGTTTCGAGCCATGTAATATGACTCTCCTGCATCCTGCTGTAAATGTTTGCTTAAATTTCATCGTCATCGTGTATTCTAAATGTTAACACGTTTCTCCCATCCTAAATGACAACAAATCTAATCTAAAACCGTTACTGGCTAGCGCTACATCTATATTATGTTATAATGTATACAATAATGCAGTTGAATTATGTCACTTCTGACATACATATAATACCAGTGACATTCTGAAATCTCCAGCATAACCAAAAATATTTTTCTATTTCATTAATTAATAAAATACCATCTAAAACAACATGTTATTGGCTAAGATAACCATGTATATATTACTCTGTTGCATCAGCAGCCTTTTTGGTAGCCAAATTGAGTCTTTAAAAGGGGAAATGGAAATTCTATATTAATTGTTTGTACTGTGATTGCATGTGAAGTCATAGCTTCCTTCCTTCTTTTATACAGTTGTGATAATTGTGTGATGACAATCTAGAAAGTGAGTGAAACAGGTTACTCTCATCTCTGGCCAAGTGGTGGTTTGTTAGATAAAAATTTCACCATCATTTTGCTCAACCACTACTTCAGCACCGCAGCAAAAGCAGCAAGATTACACGAACACCCATGCAAGAAATGTACATTAGACGTTGTTTCACTCTGAAATAAAAACCGATTAGTACAAACGATTCCTATGTATTCTCATTGCTTGGTGTCGGCATACAGAGAAGCTAATTTTCTAAAACTCTTAATTTCTCCCACCCTGACTGTGACTTTGCTGTTGGCTGAACTGTTGGGACATGTTTAAGTACATCACTTGTGTCCCTAAAACAGAATCAGCTCTGTCAGCAGGGGCCGAGTATCATAGTGACAGAACGTTTTCATCCAGAGTAGCCTATTACGGTGGTTGCTTTTGAAACTCGATGCCCGAGCCATTCATGTTCAACACTGTTTAAATATTTTAAATGGGTCCGTTCTGGCGCAATTACTTGACTCCTGGATAAACACCAGTTCATCCATCAAGATGATGATGGACACACTGCAGCAAAACACACACAAGTCGTGTGAGGATGTAGCCTCCACAGACGAGGGAAAAGCAACAAATAGTCAACATTTATTATTTTTAATGCTCCACAAACATTTGAGAAACTAAAGGGGTTTGTCATGAGTTTGTTGTGCATGACAGTGACCCTGAAAGGTCAATGTATGACTCTGGGATCAGGTCACGGTGAGGAAAATTAGACCAGCGTTGAAGATATATATAGTACCTCACCCTTTACAGCTGTCTCCACAAAACAAGACAAGGTACACAAGGTCTATCCTACACAATCACAGAAGCACATACAACAACAGCAACACTAACAAGCAGTAGATGCTTGCCACACGGCCACACCAACTAATTCAGATGACTGCTTCGTCATTGTGAGCCAACCTGAAAAAGCAGCGATGCAGAACATGTCATTGGCTGTTTTGCTCTTGTGGTTGCATAAACTATGAATATGAACAAATAAGGCAGACTGAGAGCAAAGCATTTGTTCTTGGGGTTGTTTTTTGTTTGTTTCTTTTGGCTCTCCACAAACACTGAAAAAAGAACAACGTTGTTCTTTCAGCATTTATTTTGTCTAAAATGATTTTTTCTTGCATTTAATTTTTTTTAATTGTAAACTTTAGAATTTGACCAAAGTATTATTTCTAATATGGATTAAATTAAATTGGTGGTGTTTTGTGTGAGTTTATATTTTAGCATCCTGAGATAGGCATAAAAAATAAACCTCCCAGTATGCACTGGGACAACTATATTTGTTCTTGCATTGTTAGCAATGTTATTATGATTTACATTGTGTTCTACAATATTTCCACAGTTTCCAATCATGTATTGTAGAGAGAGAGAACAGCTCTGACCAAAATAAATGTTGTGTGCACAATTGGTATATTGTGCTCCACAATGTAAGCGCATATATTCAGCTATCTCAGATTCAAGAGGATATTAGCCATGAATCCAAAGATTAGAGGCTGTTATCCTCAGTCAGGAAGATGACCCTCAAAACTCGATTAAAAAGTCAGAGTTTGCAAAGCCTGGTAATGTGAAAAAATAATACTGCGCGCTTAAAAATGTTATTTTTAGTGATTGTTGATTAGTGTGAATCACATTTTTTAAAAGATGAGTCAAGGTTAATATTGTTTTACACTAAGTGTATTAGGGGCTGAGAAAAAAGCATAATATTCTTAGTTTAACAAGTCAGGGTGCTGCCACAGCACCATCTCTTCATCATCATCTTCACACTTGTCACAGCTTCTGTCAGTGTCTGCTACTGTCTTCCAGGAAAAGACCACATCTCTCAGAGGTGTAAGACAACACCTGACAGGAAACAATATCTGGACACATGGTCAGAGGCTGCTCTAATACCTTCATGCCAGTGAATTTGGTGTTCACAATTTCCCCTCTGCATGGAAACCCAACGCCGCCATACTGCACGCTCCTGGCCCCTGAAACCCAATCAGCCAAATCCCAAAAGGTACCTGCCCGCTTCATTACAAACAACGCTCCTGTCGCAGGGCTTCAGATGGAAAAGTTGTCAGCAACAATTGTGGATGCTGCCATTGACAAACTGTTCTTTTATATCTAGAAAATGTCAGCAGGCCTTCTGCCAGACAAATACAGCGTGACTCAGGCCAGTGACCTCCCCAGGGGAACATTTACCAGCTTCTGCACTTAGAACCAGTGGTGCTGACCTTGGACTTACTCCCCTGGCATACTCTTTCACTCTCAATTTATTAAATATGACAGTCAATGACATTGGATAGATGTGTTGTAAAGGATAGATATAGCATTTTACAGAATTGCTGTCATATTTATGTATGTCTGAGATGATAGATGTTTGGAGACAGTGAGTGAAAGAGACAGACAGACAGACAGACAGACAGATAGATAGATAGATAGATAGATAGATAGATAGATAGATAGATAGAGACAGAGAGAGACAGAGAGAGAGAGAGAGAGATAGCAAACATCCTAACTGCAGTATAAGATCAATTCTCATGAAAAGAGAGGTGGAGAAAGAGACAAGAAACAGCAGTGCAATGCCAATTCAACCAAGTTACATCAAACCATCAGCGATTTCTATTGGGTTTATCTCACAGCCCAACAGCTGCTTTGAAGTCGAGAGGCTTAAGCAGCTTGTTAGGGTTCAAATCTTTCTGCATACAAATTGAGAAGAAATCACAGTTTGGGTTGTCAGGATAAGGTGTTATTAGTCTGATAAGACTGTCCTAAGTGTGAATTCAATCCAAATGTACTTCACTTCTCGCAGCTTTCTTACAGTGAGGTAATGGATACTGTCCAACATTCTTTTAGTTTAATAAGAACTGTCTCATTCATGTGTTTATGGTGTTTAAATTTGAATGCTTTCTATTTTTTTCTGTTTATATTATATATTTTATAATTTCTAAAGACCGAAAATGCCATCTGTTATAAAATGTCAAATCTCAGATGCTCAGAGCTGCAGTCCACTCAGAATAGAGCCTCTGACAGACCTTTGTCCATCTCTGACACTTCAAGGTGTGAGAATGGAAATAGGTCAAGGGTCAAAGTGCCCAAAACAGGCCCAGGTCTGGTCTGGCATCTTGTTTTCAGGGCTCCCACGACGTGTAAGTGTATCCGTCCAATCATCGCCGCTGTCTCCAAGGTAAGGTGGAGGAGAGTCTATTTCTGTTTGGAGACCAAAAATATGTTTTTTCTCTGCTCATGTGGTGGAAGAGACCAAACAGGTGACTGAGTGTGTCCTTTTCCACCTCGCTCATCCCTCCACTGAGGGCCAGACAGAGAATTTCCCTACACAGTTTCCTCACACCATGATGCATGATAGCCCAAAGTGTTCGCACAGCTGGGTCACCACTAAGCACCTTGCCGCTACGACATGTTTGTGAATAGCAGCTCAATTCATTCTGTTGCACATTGTGCGATTCAGTCACGGCCAGTGTAGCTCGCTCTCAAATTGATAACGCTTGAAAAGAGAGAAGAAACAAACCGGTGATCTCACTGACATCTGAATTAGTCATGTGATCGGTCTCGCTTTGCTCTTCTGCAGGAGATCAATTGACGTGTATTCCCCAAACTCCGGATGATGCTGGGTGCAGAGAAGTAGTAACTTCGAGGGAGTGGGGAGGGAGGAGAGGGGAGAATGGTTTCAGTGTTGAAAAGCACTTGGGTGAAGTGTATGAAGGGAAATTTCTGTTTGTTGTCATGGTAACAGGCAGTGTGGTCTGTACCAAAAACATATCCCTAGCATAGAGAGCTTGATCAGGATCCAGCGGCTCACAGCACAGCTTCCCTCCTCCATTTTAACGTGGGAACGCTGATTGTGTTGCAAATGTTTAATGATCCACGATGCTCTGAATCATATGAAATGTACAGATCAGCAGAGCTGAAGAGAAACAGGGAGTGTTTCATGTGTAAAACTCGACTGTAGTACATACTAGGCTTCATAAATGGAAGGTGAATTGTTGTGGGGAGCATAAGGAAGACATGTCTTTTTATTATGTGGAGGATTTTAATGCAACCATGCATGAAGGTGAGAGAGCGAAAACAGTAACATTTACAGTAAGGGTGATACAGAACAATGTAAAAGTCATTTTTTAAGCACCATCAGACAGCAAAGGGAAT